AGTTTTTTTTTTTTTTTTTTTTTTTTTTTTTTTTTTTTTTTTTTAAAATAACATTTAATAATATATTAATTTTAATGAAAAAAAAAAAAAAAATAAAATAAAATAAGTAAACATACTACAAGTTATGTGAAATTACAAATATATGTAAATAATAATTTATTAAAAAAAAAAAAAAAAATATAGTAGAATTCTTGATAGAAATAATGTTAATTTAAATATATTTTCTATTCATAATTTATTTAGGAATAAGAATAAAAAATATATTTTCATAATTTAATAAATCATGTGTACATTTAAATTAACTAATGGTTTATATTTACGGATTATTTTTTCCTTAAAGCTACATATATAAATACATATATAACGAAAATTTTTAATTTATCATCTTAAAATATCATAGATTAAAGAACTTTAGATATTTCAATTGTAAAAAGTATCATAAAGGGAAATCATAATTAATACTTTAAAAAAAAGTAAAAATTAGGTAATAGATAAAATTATATATATATATATATATATATTTAATAAAATACCTATTAATTTATTTAAGAATAAAATATTTGTGAAAAAGAATTGCATTAAATACTAACTTTAATAATTTTATCCTAACAAAATAAAAATATGTGGTAGGTTCTGAAAATATGTATTTTTTTTAGTTTTAATAATTTATAATATTAATTTTATAAATTAATAAAAAAAATAAAATTTTTTTTTTTTTAATTAAAGAATTTTGAAAAAAAAAATTTGTAATTTTCTAATTAAACAAAATATCAAAATCATAACACATTTAATACTACTCTATCATTTTTGTTTAGAAAATTTATAAAAAAAGAATATTCAAAATAGTATTTTAAAAATTTATTGTATGCATAATTCTTTTTTTTTTTTATTTTTTAGTTGTAATTTAAAATAAAACTGATGTTTTTATAAAGTTCACCTACAATAAAAGCTATGTTTCTATAAAAAATGAAAAAAAAAAAAAATATTTATAAGTATAAAATAGATTCTGAGAAAAAAAAAATTAAATATTAATATATGAATTATATATTTATGAAACAAAAAATTAAAAAAAAA